CAATCAACTAACGAGTACCCCCTGCTCTTTATATGTCCCCATACCATTCCATTTTTGCTGTCTCTTCAACAATCACATGCTTAACTGGCAATTGATACTCTTCACCGATAGTTCCCTGAAAATGGATCTCTTCTCTACCCTGTATAGATCCCCACAATGCCCTGCAACTAACCCCTCATTTTCAAAATCCCAAATGCTGTTCTGCAGTTGATTAGGAAATTAAATGTTGATCAGAACAACAGGTTTAAAAAACAGTTTGTTAAGAAAATGAATGCATAAAAGAGTTATATATAGGCTGGGCCAAATTTTTCTATAACAATCTCTGTGTGCTGGTACCCTCACTCTTTCAATCTATATGTGGCAATTTTAATCCCATATTAAGGAATATGAAATTTCCCACTAGACTAGATCTTAAGTATATGTCAATGCTATATAATCACATGAAAATAATATTAAGAATAGGTGGCTGTACAATACAGTTCTGTATTTAAGGACGTATAAAATATACAGCTCATTAAACGTTTCACATTATTTATAAGCATTAAAGAACTCTGCGTAATTAAATGCTTCATAAAACATGACAAATTAAGACATAAACCATTCCACAGACAAAGCTAAATCTTTATTGCAATGTAAACAGAAGAAGGATAAAAAACATAACTTAATACTACATAGTTCATCCAAATGTTTAAACATTTCAAATCTTAATATGCTACTAAAAACTTTAATTTTAATTTTTTTAACAGAATCATATTTTCCCCCCAATGTTTCTATAATAGAGACAAAAAAAATAAAGAATAAAAGCTCAGTACTTTATACATTAAGCAGGTAGGCTCAGAGTGACGCCAAAGGCACCCTTGCTATTTCTTCACAATGAAATTGTGTTGGTGACATGTGTTCCCCAATCAGATGCGCATTGGTCTCCCTCTCCTCTCTCAATTATCTCAGGCAAGGAGAGAGAGACAGTCATGGAGATCGGTACTGGGAGAGAGAAAAGGTAAGTAATCTACCTTTTTGTTCCTCCCTGCAGGTGGGAGCCGGTCACCTAAATGTCCAACAGTGCCCTATAGAGTTAGGAATTAGGGTTGTGCATGGGCAAAGAAATTGGTTCGGT